ATGCAGTCTAAAATAATTGTTGTCAAACTAATTCATTATGATAAATTGTAATCGTTATACACTTAACTTTTTAATATGGAGTATTTATAATCGTTTGAATAGAATTAAAACGCTCTATATATAAAATTTAATAGTTAAACTAAGTTAAGTGATACAGAGTATACTTTTAAAATTTTACTATCCCATTTTAGATTATTTTTTTAATTTTAATTGTTTGAAAGGTTATTTGAATAATAAAAAATACTCCATCCGTCCCAAAAAGTTTGTTACGTTTAGAAAAAACTGCGTCCCGTAAAGTCCGTTACATTTCTATTAAAAAACCACTTTTACCCCTTACTTTTTCATACCCTACCTATCACATCATATTTTTTTCTAATAATCTACCCATCACATCCTACTTTTACCAATCACATCAAGGGTATTTTTGGAAAGTCAATATCAAAATATCCCTCCCTTAATTATCCAAAAAGTCAAACCGTCCCATTCTTTTTGGGATGGAGGGAGTATTACTTTGGAATATTTTTAACATTTTTTGTCATTTTACATTGCCTGTAAAAGAAATCCGAAGATATAGCCCCCAGACCCTATAATACAATGCCCCCAGTCACCTATAATCCTGGATCCGTCACTGTCAAGAGGAACAAATCATTGTATGTACCTCAACCCTGTGAATGCACAAGAATCTAGCAGGTCTACTTAAACACGGAACCAACCTAATTTTCTCTTAACCTATGAAGGTGATGTCTTCCTTGTTGAGAATGACGAGCCACAGACCTACCTTGAGGCTATTAGATTCCCTGAGGCTGAGGGATGGTGTCAAGAAATAAATCTGAAATTAAATCAATGTACACTCACCAAATTTAGACTTTGGTTTAAGCACTCGAAATGGTTAAACGCATTCGGTGGAAGTGGGTCTTCAAGAAGATTGGTAGCAAAAGATTATGAACTATGAATGGAAAGGCATACCTTTAGAGCACGATTGGTAGCAAAATGTTATTTATAAACTCAAGGAATAGATTATGATGAAATCTTTTCTCCTGTCGCGATAATTAGATTTATTCAGATCTTATTGGCCATTACCGCATACTATGATTATGAAACTTGGCATATAGACGTCAAAATAACTTTTCTTAATGGAATCACCTTGAGGATGTGTACATGACATAACCTTAAGGGTTTTGTATTCTTGAAAAGTATACTAAAGTACGCAAGTTGCAATATTTTTAATCTATGGATTGAATCAAGCCGTGTAGAGTTGGAATATTCGTTTTCACAAAACTATAATTAGTTATGGATTTGAGTGAAACAATGACTAGTCTTGCGCATACAGAAAGACTATTGGCATCGATGTAGTCTTCCATGCATTATTTGTCGATGACATACTACTCATGTTAAAGCCTAGTTGAATAAGAAATTCTCTATGAAAAACTTTCATTGGGAGAAGCTAGCTATGCTCTTTGCATTGGGATCTATAGAGATAGATCTAGAAAGTTGATGGATTTGAGTTAAAGTGCATACATATATAAAATCCTCGGTCGATTCAAAATGATTGATTTTAAAAGAGGAAATCTACCTATAGTCCAAATGATTAGTCTTTTAAAGACTCGATGCCCTTTGACACAAGAGGACAAGCTAGAAACACATGCAACATTATGCTTCACTTATTGGATCAATAATGTTTGATATGATATGTACTTTACTCGACGCCGCCTTTCCTCTAAGCGTTACGAACAGATACCAATCCAATCCTACCAAAAGTCATTGCACGACAGTGAAGAACATCCTTAAAAAACCATGAAGAACTTCGAATTCCTTCTTAATATACGAGGGTGAATAAGAGTTTAGAATAATCTGTTATACTAATGCCATGATGTATCTTTCTTCGCCATTCAGACAATAAAAATATTTCACCATAGATTTGAAGAGCTATAAGCAAGATACTATTGAAGATTCAACTACAGAAACAAATACATCATGACAGTTTTTTGAAGTTGTCAAAGAAGGTGTTTGGATGAAGATTTTCTCTATACAACTTAGAGTGGTTCCTAGTATCAAGAACCATATACAGTTGTATTATTAGGCAGTCCCAAAGGCTAAAAAACCATGATCTCACTATCAAGCTAAACACATTGTTAGACCTTATCACATAATACGTGAAATCGTAGATCGTGGAGACGTCGAGATTTGCAAAATAAAAATAGATTATAATTTAGAAAATCCACTCACCAAGATTTTGGGAAGGCCTAAACACGAGTGTCACCCTATGTCCATGGGTATTCGGGAAATGCATAGTTGGCCTTAGTACTAATGAGAGATTGTTGAGTTTGTGAGCCCTAGAGGGTAATCTATTTTTATATATTTGAATATATATCAAGAATAAAAAGTCCAAAATATGATTTATGCATTTCGTGTATCTAAACGTAGTTTTAGCCCAAAGCATAGTGCTCTTATAGCATATATTAGAACTACGATGTTCTGATTATTAGACTATTATATTTATATAGGCTATGCTTAAAATATCCTTAGTCGCATATATATGATAATATGAACTTTATAATATATTAAGATTAATATGTATGGTCGAGACAAGATAGTTGCGTCTCATAGGCTATAGATATTGAGATACCTTAGTCTATACATAGGTACATAAATGGGATATGGTACTAGATTGACCCGCCATATATGAGAATATTACATTAATATTATTTTAATGTGTTAGTAGTATTCTCATTGGACCATTGATATTACTATAATTTGACTTAAAGTCATTATGATATTTGACATGCATACTTTGTTCTATTACTAATCACATCTGAAATATTAGTAGACATATAGTTCTACTATAAGTATGTATTTAAACATATGTAAAGATATGCATGGCGTAAAAAGAAGTTTTCCATACCATTGTACGGAAATGTAATATTTTCGAGCTCACTGATTGATGTAATTTTAGAAGCACATCACATTGTCCATATAAATTAATTTCTCCCTTTTTCCCAAATATTTTACACTTTATGCAAAACAAATTGAAGCAAATTTTCAATTTTTTAAATTTATTTTATTTAAAAATTGGTATAGAAATTAAAAAATAAAACATACATATTTAATAAATACGTCAAAACTTATACAAAATAAGAGGTGACAAGAATATTTTATTTTATCAAATAATTGATCAAAATGTAGAAAGTAAATAAACAAAAATTTCTGTGACTTTTAGATAGTGAAGACTGTAATTCTTTTGGGATAGAGTGAGTATAAGATATTAATCTTTTTAAATCACACAAGTAAGTGTGTGTGTATATATATATATATATATATATATATATATATTATTTTTTCTTAATAATATAATAATTAAAATTGAAAAAATAAAGTGTTATATTCTATATCCATGGCCGAAAATGAGAATGAAAATTTGGGATCAATACTCCCTCTGTTTTCGAAACTTATTTCTAAAGTACCATGGTTTCAAAACGTTGCATCCACACACCTCCGATCATTTTCTGGTCATCTTCCGACAAAGAGGGAAATTGTTGCCTATTTTCTTAACCACATATATAAGGGGCGCACATGCTCATTTCTTATTTTTCGTTTATTACTTTATTTTTTTTTCCTTTTTTAAAATTTTTTTATCTTTGTTTCCTTTTCCTAGAGAAGTTTTTTAAATTTTTTTTAAAATTTTCTATAATTTTTTAAAAATTCAAAATTCTTTGTGTTTGAAATGAAAATAAAAATAAAAAAATTAACATATACACCATCTTTCTCAAATTAAACATTTAAATTTTTGTTTTCTAGAATAATTTTTTTGGTAAGTTCAAAGAGAAAATAAAAAATAAAAAAATAAAAATAAAAATATGGAAAAATGAAATGAAAAAATTGAAACATCTAGAAAAGAGTCCTATACAAAAATTAATTTTCAAAACGCCTAAAAAAATCTTTAGAATTGCGATATTGAACAAGGATATTCATTTTTATTTTTAGTTTTATTCTATTTCATATTTTATTTCTCATTTTTTGAAGTTCTCAAAAAAAGTATTTATTCTTTTGTTTCAAAAAACAAAATTGTTAATTTGAGACGTACAAATGCAATATAAGTACAAACGTACAGATGCAGTTTTGAGCCAGGCATGAGCTGAAAAAATCACGAGAAGGAATTTTGAGAATATTTAATTTTCTTGCTCATCTCAAATAATATTATATATTCTAGTAATATTCAAGAAAGAATTTAATTTCTTCTTAGAACGTCGATCACAAAACAAGTTAAAGGAAAAAAACGAAATTTTCCCCCCATTTTTGCACTACTAATATATAATCCACTAACCCTCACTAATTTTCATATAAATTAAAATTTAAAAAATTCTAAAGATGAGAAAAGACTTTAGGTGGAGTAGAGCATATATAGGAGAAATTGACACAATAATAGAGTAAATTATATAGAGGAATGAATGATGAGTATGTAGATTATCTAGTAGTATAGTGTACATATATACAAGAAATATTTGGATAAAATAGTACTAAAAACATTAGTCATTTTTAAATGTAGGACTTAAATTTTTTTCATTCCCCAAATAACACTTAATAATGTCTTGAAGAAGGAATTATGTCCCGTGATCGTGAATATTTACTTGAATAAAGACTAAAAGTATAATTTGACATTAACATTATGTCTAGTGACGTGTTCTGATACTCCCTCCATCCTAAAACTTTCTTCCTAGAGCACTTTTCCAACTTCACGGGAATTTATATTTATTTGTGTTTTTTCATGGCCTATATGATAAAATAAAATATTCTTGTCACCACTTGTTTTGTTGAACTTTTGATGTAGTTTTTAAATATGTATGTTTTATTTTTTATTTCTATACCAATATTTAAATAAAATAGATTGAAAAAACTTGGGATATTTCTTCGTTTTGCGCAACGGGAAGAAAATTTTAGGACGGAGGGAGTATTGGTTAAGCGGATAACACAAAAATAATGAGTATGATTGTGGGCTAGGATTTCGACAAAAGACCACATTTGTAGACTATGTTTGTAGTAAAAAGCGACTGTAAATCACAAACGACGCAAACAGAACATCCTTTGAAATTGTGTATGACAAAAAAAATATATTATCATTGTCAAATTACACTTTTAGCTCTCAAATTAACACCAACATGATAGAAGATCAAAAAAAGACTATTTGTGGAAAGATACACATAAAAAAGGACCACTGGGGTAATATTAGATAATAGAGGACTAAATAGGAAAACCCCCATGTTTGACTTTTTGAGGATTTAAGGGAGGGATATTTTGGTGTTGAGTTTCCAAAAATACCCTTGATGTGATGTGTTAAAGTAAGATGTGATAGGTAGATTATTAGTAAAAAGGTATGATGTGATAGATAGGGTATGAAAAAGTAAGGGGTAAAAGGGGTTTTTTAAGGGAAAAGAGAAGTTTATTTAGGGACAAAGAAAAAACAAAAGAGGAACTTTATTTAGGGACGAAGGGAGTATGATGTTATTTAGGAAAAGTTATTGTTTTAGTGTTACATAAGTAAATTCATTCATATATATATATAAATATACCTTGTAGGAAGGAGTGAAGATGCCGATGCCGAATTTGGCATTAGTGACGTTCGCTTGCATAACTAAAGGAATGGCACCAAGATGGGTGAAAAGATCGGCGATTAAAGAAGGGGAATGCTTAATGATTTTGATCATGTCGACGTCAAGCGTGGCGTTGACCAACGACACAGCTTTGCCGGCAATGGCCCCGCCGCCACTGGTGGGTTCCACGACGGCCAGCAGATTTCCGTCGTGGCGGATCGTCATGTTCAAGGAGTCATACTTGAAGGTGTAGACGCTTTTGTTGCGGACCTTAACGGTGACGTCCATCTTGAAAGTCAAGGTGGGGGGGAAAAGGTCCTTATTCACGTCTCTGATGTGGTGGTCGACAACGGTGAACTCCGGGTCGGTGGGCCACAAGAGCCACGCCAAAAAGCCGATGATCAATACGATGGCGGCGCAGGGGGCAATTATGTTGAGGCAGACCGCCCTCTTCCGCTGCTTCGGGTCCATCTCCTTATATTTCTGAATCGAGAAGGATGGGAACGACGACGATGTTCTTTTGTGTGTGTGGGAAGAGGAGGAGGAGGACATGATGAATGTGTCTGTCTATGTCTTGTGATTATTATGTACTCCCTCCGTCCCAAAAAGTTTGTTACGTTTAGAAAAAACTGCGTCCCGTAAAGTCCGTTACATTTCTATTAAAAAACCACTTTTACCCCTTACTTTTTCATACTCTACCTATCACATCATACCTTTTTTCTAATAATCTACACATCACATCCTACTTTTACCCATCACATCAAGGGTATTTTTGGAAAGTCAATACCAAAATATCCCTCCCTTAATTTCCCAAAAAGTCAAACCGTCCCATTGTTTTTGGGACGGAGGGAGTATTTGATATACGCACACTTGCACTGCTTACTAGCTACTACCCGGCCGCAGCTGTGCGTGCTCTATATTGTTTGTGTGTGTGGATAAATTGGAGAGGAATTTACTTCACTAAAACATAATGATTTTCCTTAAATAGCATCACATGTGTTTTTTTCTCAATGTAGCACTTTTAGTCATTATGCATTAGTCATTATTCAAACAAATATTCTCCATTATTGGACATTATGGACATTATTATGTGTTATTTAAAGAATAAAACAATTTAAGTGCTATTTAGAGAAATGACTTAAGTTTTAGTGCTATTTAGTGCAAATGTTTGTAAAGGGGATGGGTTTGTACTCATATATACAACGCCCGCCGGCCCCTTCCATCTATAATATGCTTCCTTTTTTAATCCATAATCATAATCTTCTCATACTTTGCCGATAGGTATGCTTCGTTTTTCAAAAAGTGCTTCGTTTTTTCAAAAAGCACTTTAATCTTGTCGAGAAGGGTGGTAAAAGAAAAAAAGACCACTCAAAACCATAGTTTTCAGAATCGAACCGGTGATCGAACGATCAAGGCACTGGTTCACTGGTCGAACCAGTGGTTCGAGTGGTTAAACCAGTGGTTCAAACATCTTTAATACATACATACATACATACATACATACATACATACATATATATATATATATATAGACACACGTTTTGGCATTGAATTAAAAAACTAATATATGAGTAAACAAAACATATTTCCTCTATTTATAAATAAATAATTGATGTTTGACTAAATTTATACTTTATTTGAGTTGTGTCATCACATATTTTAAAATGCTTATAAATAAAAAGTGATTTCCTTTTTCTGAAACATTTTACCTAGTAGTTAAAATATATATAAACAAAATATTTGTGTGATATGCACTTCATCTCAATTATATCAATGTGTTTTGAATTTTAGTTAAAAAACTCTCTATATTTTTAAAAGTATTTGATAAAGAATTTTGTAGTTAAAGAATATTAAAGAGGAATAGCAAGGAATCAACACCAAGCATTGTAGCAGAGATGGTTTGATGCTTGCTCTAAGCGCGGCCTGGCCAAAAAACCGGCCGGTTTTCTCCGGTTTTAGCCGGTTTCTACTGGTTCAATGCTGAAGCCGGTCTAATTGTCCGGACCGGACCGGTTTGATGAGCGGTTCACCGGTTCCCGGTCCGGTCCGGTTTTTAAAACTATGCTCAAAACACATGGGACGGTTATGTGAGAGAACGTAAATTAGACCTTAATCACACACGAGTTCTTCTTTAGTGCATATCAATTTTGTATACCTTTTCACATAAAAATATCATTTTTTATTTTAAAAAATACTTTCTCCGTCCCCAATTTGATTGCAAATTGCGGGTTACGGAGTAAAATTTTTTACTTTTTGAAATCATTTTATTTAAAAATTGGTATATCAATAAGATATAAAAATTATATAATAAAAAACTACGTAAGAAATATTACAAAATAAGAAGTGACAAGAATATTTTATTTTATCAAATACTTAATGAAATCGCGTAAACAAACAAAAGTTATTGAGAGGAGAGGAAAAAAATTATAATCTATTTAGGGACAAAGGAAGTAAATGTTTATTTAAGTAATAAAGAAATATTTATTTCGCTCATATATAAGTCTATAGTGAACTTTAGGTCCAACATAGAATTTTCCATTAGAAAACTGGTACTTGCAGAGATTCTGTGTAAAACTCATCTTATCGTTTTGGCTTCTCCTGCATTTGTCTTTACATAAATCCTGAGTGAAAATCTTCTGAAAGACATACATAAGAGTTCTATCTGTTTGATTTTTAAATCTTAGTTTTTTGTCTACAGCATAATGATTTTTAAACATAAACATAGGTACCAAAACCTTTGTTTTTTGTCTACATCATAATGAAAGTGCACTGAACCTCGCCTCTCAAAGCAAAGTGTGCTAAAATAAATAATCAAGTTACATTAAATAGCACATTTTGAATAGCAAGAAAAGGAAGAGTCCACAAAAAGGAGAGGAAAAACTGGGCCCTACACACAGGTTATCCCTCGGTCATCGGATTATTGTTGAAGGCGGTCGCCCCAAACTAGTGCCGTGGTGTATGCCCGCAAAAAGGAGAGTGTATCCAAGGAAGAAAGTGGTGTTTGTACAACATAGTGTGTGTAAGTATGCCCAAACCAGTTGTGGCATTTGTGCTGTCTCTACATCCAAAAGTACTACTGTCCAACAAAGTTAAGCCTGCTGTCAATTCCTTTTAACCTTCTACTTGAAAGTTCTACCTTTGAAGGTAAACAATCAAGACCAAAGACAAGAAAAAGAAGAATAAAAACGTTACCTCGGGGTAACAATTTTGACTGGTCATTGTTTGGTTATTTGTATCTACAACAATTTCACATGATACATTTGCCTGCAATAACAAAAAAGATGAGGCAATAACAAAGTCTCTAATCTGAACTGCATAATGATTTGTGGCAAAAGGCTACTAAGTATCATATATGGACTTTATGTAGGGAAAAAAACAGCAGGGTGGGGGCGCTCAATATTAGAGAAACAGAATAGCAAGATTAAGGCACAATGATGAGAGTTGCACCTTTGGCATAGATAGTAATGTTAAGTCCATGAGACCCCTCTGACTATTGTAATTTTCTAATCCAATCCCTCTAGCTTCATTTTGAATCACTCGACCCCGTATAATTATGACTCAGGCATCATATCCCCTCCAACAACAACAACAACAACCCAGTTAAATCCCACAAGAGTAGGGTCTGGGGAGGGTGTGTGTACGCAGACCTTACCCCTACTCGAAAGTAGAGAGGCTGTTTCCAAAGAGACCCCCGGCTCAACGTCGAAAGTTGCATTGCTTGACTAACTGCTACTTCATTAATTAAAGAAGCGCAGACAGTTTACAGATCCATTTTGATTTATTCCATCACACCCCAAAGCCAAAAAATGGTGAAATTTTGGCTCCATCGGAGATGATGGAAAAGCATCATATCGCCTCCAACTATTGCAATTGTCACTTGTCACATCCACTCCCCTAGAATTCAATCATTGTACTATCCCTACTTGAATACAAATAAAAATACTGCATACTCAAATTCTTTATTACAATGAAGGAGAAGTGCACTGAGTTCAGTTTAAGCCCTAAATTGATTTGAATGAGCAGAGGGATGGTATTCATCAAAACCCTAATTCAATTTTAGGGTTTGAGCCCATGATCTGATTTTGTTTCCAATAAGCTAGCTAACATTTGGATTAAAAATTCTCAACTCAAATTGGTTCATGTGTATCACTTCTTTTTTTTAATGTAATCATGTGTATCACTTTATTAACTATTTTTAATGGAATTACAAGGAAGAGTTGATAAAGGGTGATATGACGAGGGAATTGAGTGATTGAAAGTTCAAAACAAAAACTTAGAGCATCGAGTGGCACAAAATTAAGTATGAGGAATTACATGAAACAACCACAATAATAGGAGGAATCTCAAGAAATTAACCCTAAAGAATTAAGCTACACAATGCATGCATTCCACACAAAGTAAATACTAAAACCCTAACAGCATTCAGACATGACAAATCAAAGCATATTTTCCCAAGGAAATGCGTAGGACTACCAATCCTAGTGGCAGTGCCTGTAAGGTTAGAATGCTGCTGAAGCCAGACTTCAGAGAATGCAGCACACAGAAAAACATTAATGGTGGCACATGATGTCCATGATACCATGCATGTTTGTGAAACACATATTCCTACCATTGTACAAGGAAACCAATACAACAACAACACAGTTAAATCCCACGAGAAAGATGATATGGTCTGGGGAGGGTGTGTATACGCAGACCTTACCCCTACTCGAAAGTAGAGAGGCTGTTTCCAAGAAACCCCCAGCTCAAGTAATACAGATAACACGGCTAGCACAAGCTCGGCAGAGAAAGCACAAAGCACCCAAAAAAAGCAAAGAACAAACTAATACTCGTATTAAAGAAGGAAAAGCACAACAAGCATAAAATACTAAGCATTATAGTACACATCAATAGATGAGAAAACTACCACCCAGTCCAAAATGTCTGCCCAACTACGCTACTCATATCTCTCCAAATGTTCCTATCTAAGGTCATATCCTTGATAAGGGCCAGAAGTCTTAGGGCATCCCTAATCACCTCCTTCCTATAAAAGAATCAATGAATGGGAATGAAGTAAATCAGATTTTCTTAAATGGAAGATTCTATCGATAAATCATGAACGGTGTGATATTAGGAATAATTGATTATTTTTAATCTTTACATAGTTTACATGCTTGCATTAGGCTCTAAAGAAAGGCACATTTGAGGACGTAGCCAATAATCTTGAGTAAAATCATCAGCCTTGCCAAAGGAGCAACAACATCTTTCATGTTCTTTACGCCTTAACTAATACGGTAAGATCTATATAATTATGAGCTTGGATTATTGTATTTCTTTTTACTCTTTAAACTTATTTGAAATTCTTCTACCAGGGTTTATTGTAAAAGAAAAAGGTAGCACAACAAAAAACCATAGAATTGCAATATATCCATACAGAACCAAAAGTACGTGCTCACTTGAACGGCATAATAGAAAATGGAGAATAACATTAAAAAATGGAGAATGTGCTCACTTGATTTTCAAAAATGAAAAAATAGGGAAAATTAGGGGGGGAAAATGTAAGTATAACTTAAAAGGAGAACTGCAAACAGTAGGTTCCCCAGAACTCCAGGAGAACAGCCAACAAATTATCATCATGATTTGAGAGTCATGAAAGTGATAGCAAGTTTAAGTAGCATACAAAAAGTAATTCTAACCAAGAGAATGACCCATCTATAGCTATTGACACCATTACTAATAAAATCCACAAGAATGAAAGGATCAGAGTAAACACGTGATGCACCACCAACATCAAGCCAATCCATAAACCGATAACAGGTCAGGAGTCATTAGGAAAGATTATAACACAAATGCATTGATAAAAGCTGCAATAGGAGAAAGCCTCCTTGGTCGAGTGGATGAATGACCCACTTGGGAGTTCAGAGGAGTTCAAAGGCCGCTCATTTTAAGGGAGTTCATTTGGATTTAAGAATGAAGGGTTTAAATGGGTCTAGTGATGATTGTGTTCAGCTGCCCCAGGGGAGTACCGGATTATAGTTCGAGTTTTACTTCCTAAAACTTAAAAACATAAGCTACAGTAGGAAATTAATCAAGAAAATATGACCTATTTTTCAAATATTTGCAGAACTAATTCATTGATCCTCAAGTTTTTCCTTTACAAAAGAATGTAAAAGGATGGGGTTATGGAGCTACCTGCAGAGGAATATCAAACCAGAGCAACCCAAGTAGGCCATCTATCTCAGTAACAGTATCGAAAGAAATAAAGCCCTTGGCAACATCCTCGATTAGGGAAACCACATCGCTGAAGACCTCAACGCCTTCAAGCTCGAGCGTGGCATTGACGTATGAAGAGGCTCTGGCTCTGAGGTGCCCCTTGCCGGACGAGACTTTCCCCAGCTCCTTCCCTTTGTAGCCGATCAATACGGCCAAAGACCTATAATCGACGGAGTAGAAGTCTCTGTTGCGGACCTTCACAGTGAGGTCTAGGGTTATGTCGAAGGAGAGAGGAATCAGGTGAAGTTTGAAGCGTCGGAGGTGGAGGCGGGAGACGGAGACTTGGGGCTCTGAGGGCCATAGGAGGAAGACGGCAACGGCGAGGAGAATGACGACGGAGGCGCAGATGAGGGCGTTGCGGCTGAAAAAGGGGCGACGGCGCGGGGAACGCGGTAAAACGATGACGTACTGGGGTTCGGAAGGAAGGAGTTGGTAGGGAGGAAATTGCGCTGGAGACGAGGTTGGAAGCCCGTCGGCAGCAATTTTTGAGGATGCCATATCCTTTTCTTTTTTCCCCGTCTGAGGAGGGCGAGAGAGGAAGAGTAGTAAAATTTCTTTGACAGAATAGATGGGAAGATTGGGAACTGCTGATGCAGTCATAATACTCTTTTCTCCCTATTTAATTTAAATTAATACACAACATTTTTAATAATTAAAAATTATTTTAGGTAAAATGACTATTTCTAAATTATTGCAGATAGTTACAAAAGGCAAATGTATATTCGAGTATGTCTCAATACATGAAGCACGAAGTGCATTAGAAACAATTACTCTATAACCTAGTTTGTTTATACGCGCATAATCCAAGTATTATACTTACGTACCTATAATACGCGTATTATACTTACGTATCCGTATGTTTTTTAAAAAATATTTTAAAATGCACATATATTTGATACTATACGTAAAATTATGTATAGTACGTATGAATTGTGATGGTGTAAATTATCGACCGGTATATCGTTTTTAGCCGGACAAAAACAATAAACTAGTCTAAAAAAATACACCAAAATATAAACACGGCAATTTTGACGTGGAAACTCAAATCGAGAGAAAGTCACGAGCCTTTTTTGGCGGTACCTTGCCAACGGGGGAAGTTTATTAATATCGAGAGTTGTACATGGTACACGATTTAGGCTAGGAAGCCATTAGTGGAGTTTGAAGCTTCTTTGAAGAAATAAAATATACAATATACAATATTTCTAGAGAGAGAAAGTAGTTTGGGCAGGAGGATAAGAGAAGAAAATGGCCTCCTCAACATTGAGGGCAAATCCTCTTCTTATAGGGGAGGAGGGGAAGCATATTCGGGGAATATTCTCTTATTCCTCTATTTTATTAAACAGGCCCGGTTTGACTATTCTTCGTAAATAATTGGGAAATGTGGACCGAGCCACGTATTATTTCCCATCAAGAAGTCATCCACTTTTTTTAAGTTGTGAGAATCATCAACTTAAAAAAGTAAACAAGTCCTCCGAGTGCTATCTTCAGTATTCGTACTTTGCATTCTTGACCGGTTGATATTGCTAGTCCTCCGAGTCTTCATTAATTCTCTAATTTCTTGAATCAGATATTTTTCCTGCCAAAAATAATATGTACAATACATTTTTATTTTTTGACCGGCCTATGTCGTGCTCAAATAATTATTATCGTTACCGAGGAGCTCGGTGTTAGGGTGATTAAAATATGCGTGAATAAATATCTAACGAGAGCAATGTCAGTTTAATAAAGCAACGATGCTTCGAGTAGTTATACGACACCGGAGTTAGTACGATGAAGCGGCGGTGCTTCAAGTAGTTATTTCGTCGAGCCCGTTGTTAGTACGATGTATTGAGAAATTAGTATATCGAAAAGACTGACGTTACTTAATATGAATTAGGTACGCTGCAGCAACTTTGTCGAAGATCGATGTTAGCCCGGCTAACTGATGCAAAGATATTCATGTCATGTAGAGACCACTTCCGGAGTGCCTTGTTCAAAAGGCCTGAAGAATCGGGCCTCCCCGATAAAAGCTGAGCTGAGACACCGGTGTACCCAATTTGATTGGGTTCAGACTTACGAGAAAATATGTGCAAGACCGGTGTGTATACCATTCTTGGCCTGTCTCGCGCACAAGAATGATATTTACCAGCGTGCCAGGCCGGGCCTGTGTCACATATTTTATATTTTTTTATTATACTGAGCAAGACCGGTGTAGTAACCAGCGTGCCAGGCCAGGCCTGTGTTTCAGTCTTCATCTTTTTTTTTTAATTCTGAGCAAGACCGGTGTCGTAACCAGCATACCAAGCTCGGCTTGTATCTCAGTCTTCCTTCCAAAGTTCAACTCGACAATATTCTTTGAGAATATGTCACAGCTCAATTGTGGGGCCTAATAGCACGTGAACACTGTAGTGAGTGTTTCTCAATAGGTGTATTTCAAAAGTTAATGGAATCAATAGACCCCACCATCCTCAATCTTGCATTATTCCCCCCACGTCACCACTTTGTCCTCTTATTGGTATATGCATTTACTTTAACACCTTTGAATATACTTCGTATAAACATTCTCATTGGTAAGCACTTGGATTTTTCCCCATGACCATATGAGGGAATCCACACTTAGCTGTCATGTTGTCTTTGACACTGATAGATAATCTTGATAATGAACCAATGGCTCTCCTTGCAATAATTAGGGGCCACCAATGGTAGTTAATCCAGAGATGACCGACAATTATTCTGGCCAATCTCGGCAACAACGGCTGCAAAATTGAGCAGCGGCGAGAACATCTCAACACAAAGAGTGGGCGGGGTCTTCGAAATGCCTGAAAGTTCTAGAGCCTGGGGTCCTGAAAGCTGTGGAGTCGCCGGCTTAATCACTGCAAACTGCAATCGGCGGATCGGCGAAGAGGAGTCCTATAGTTGCAGGTTCCTGGTAGGGCTCTTAGATTTCCGGATCCTGTCGCTTAGGAAGAGGCTGACGAATTCGTAGCAACAGAGGCGTTTTTGGTTCGCCCATTGCCGTCCTTGCCAGCGAATCCACCCCGTGCCAATTCTGGCGCGCGAGAAGGCTGTTGACTCCCGAACCCAGGCGATGACAGTGGAAGGAGTAAGCTCTTCTGGCGGCGACATCTTTTGTTTGGTGGTGAACTAGGTTGCACAGAGTCGCTAGCGGAGGGAAGTCGCTGGAGAAACTGGACTTCGCTGAAAACCTGGAAGCTATGAAATCGCCAGTGGTGCTTTGCAATTGGCAGATCAAGGATTCGGATCGGTGATTAGGCGGTGCTCCGATTCCCCTGAAATTTCCGGAACCGTTAAGCTGAGGAATTTAGACCCGTAGATGTGATTTTAGTTCGCTGGATACGTTCCGCGCCGGTGATGAATCTAGTGTGTGAGGTGGCACTTGTTTTCCGATTCAATGCAAGCTAGGTGGTGAATCGGCAGTGGCGAGTGGCTTTTGGGAAGTGGGTTTCATCTCTTCCACGATCCGGCACGAGAAGCTTCTCAAATTGAGATTGAGAGTATGAAATGGGGTGGTCTGATATCGTCTGCGAGGTGAATAGCTGCCATTTTCAGATTGATGGTAGATTTAAGCATCTATGTCCATCGGATTAGGATAGACTCTTCCGGCAATTACGCTAAAGTGATTTTAACAAGGGTGTCCATAGCTACTTCATCAGCGGCAGTGGCCATGACTACTTCATGAGCGTCAGTGGACAAATTTGAGATGAAGTGGCTCTCAAATCCAATTTGGAGTGCAGGCTCCTAATATGGAACCAACACTTTTGGATCCAAATTTTACACCAAGGAACTTCAAAATGCAAGGCTGTACGAACTACGAAGTACTCCATAAAAAAAGGACATAGGTTTGAGATTGAATTTTTTTCTCCTCCCTTTGTTGAGGAAAATTAATGAATATAGCAACTTGACTCTTTGCTCGGATCCCACGGTCGGGCCAAAATTATGGTGTAAATTATCGACCGGTATATCGTTTTTAGCTGGGCAAAAACGATAAACTAGTCTAAAAAAATACACCAAAACTAGTTTTCTACCCCGTGCTACGCACGGGCTTGTTATTAGGGCTCGTTGTCATAATGTTATTGATGTGATGGTTGAGAATGGAGAGTTTGGTTTATGATTTGATTTTCTTCCGTGCTACGCTTGGCATGTGTTAAAGGGTTGTGTATGTTTTGGTTTTGTAGGATTTTGAAAGGCTACATTGTATCCTTTTGTTTTGTGAAATGTGAAGAGTGATATTATTCTATTTTGGGGTTTTTTAATTTGATGTTGGTGGTTGAAGAGATTAATTTTTTGTAATGATTTTAGATGTTCATTTTGGCGTTGTACCGGTTGATGTTTGTTTGGTGTTTTGATGTTCGTTTGGGTAAGATGAAAAAATTAAAAATAATCTTAGGGCTGATATTCATGAAAACATTTTTCATAAGTTTTAAACAATTCCAAAACACTTGGTGTTCGCCTAAACCAAAAACCAAGGCATCTAGCATTTGGCTTTCGGAAACTGGCGTTCGGCATTTGGTTATCAGCATTGGTTTTTTGGCATTCGAACCAACCAAGTGGTTTTTAACATTTTAACATTGGTTTTTACTTCTAGTCACATTTAAATAGTTCTACAACAAAAAACATGTTAAAAACCACCTTTCATTTTTGGCCTTTTTGTAAAAACTATGTGAAACGGCATAAATTTGGCTAGCCGTGATTTTTACCTTAATGAAGTGGTTTTACCTTAATGAAGTAATAAAAGAAAAAATGATAAATACTTTATTGTAAACAACATCAGGTTTTCTTTTCTAAAAGATTAATAAATTTTATACTTTTTTTAGATATATAACTAATTGTGTATGTTACATATTTTAAAATGGTATAACATATAAACTCCAAATGAATACAATAATCAAATAAAATATATTAAGATTTTTAATCTATATACTCCCTTTTAGGCTTTTTTTGGTAAAACTATGTAATACTTTGATTATAAATTAAATACAGTTTTAAATAATTAAATGTCATAAAAACGTGATATATGAAAATAATATTTTAGATAGATACATTTTTTCTAAATTTACATTATAATTAAATATAATATACTTTTTGCACACTTTATGGTCAAAGTATATATATAGAGCGACTTGACCAAAAATATCAAATTTTTATCAAATGAAATAATATTGAAATTTGATTTAATTATTAAAAAAATAAAATAAAAATGCAAAATAAACCAATTAAGTAATGATAAATCATTGAAAGATTCATATGCGGTGTATGAGCTATATGCCACATGTTATCCTAGAACAAAAACAAATCTAGTTTATTGAATTTGATGTTTTGAAATATTATATAAAAAATTTAATAATGTTGCCAAAAAAACATTTTGAAGTAAAATATATAGTTAATAAATATAGAGTTAATAAAATATAGTTATTTGTTAGAAATAAGAATATAAATAAATGGTGGATTCTTTTATTTGTAGTATGTAATAGGATAAAAAGTTTGAAATAAATTTGTATTTAATAATTA